GGGGGGGGGGGGGGGGCTTTGCCCCCCCCCCCCTCCCAGTTATATAGTTAAAAAATGCCCTGAAAGTGTCTAGTATTAAAACTGTAAAAATCAAACCTGCAGTTAGACAGTATGCTTGATGTTCTTCCTTCCATTCCATTATGCACCAATCCTCCTGGGTAAGACGCGACGCTTTTAAGAGTGGATCATCAGACTCGTCAGGATTTGATGAAACAAATTCATCAAGCATTTTGTTGTATACGCCTTTTTCACGTGCTTCGAACTTGTCTGGATATCTCTCTAGTTTAACAATAGCATAAAGAAAAATCAGCTCAGGTAAGATGTATAAAATACAGTGATTCAGGTTGATCGTGGAACATTTACCAGGGCGGCGCACACGACCGTCACAACTCGGCACTACTGAGTCCACTGCATTAGGGGAGAGATATATCATGGGTATAAGATGGTAGAGTGTTGTATAGTTTATGGTATACAGTAGTTTGGTAATTGTAAGGTAAGGTTATTTATAAAATATTTTACAATATTTACCAGATGTACTGTATAGACATTAACTAAATATTAAACAAACAATGAATCAAAAGAACATGTCAAGCATTACTTGGTAGATAATCGCATAGGAGCTCCAGTAATTCCTGTTTTGCAAGGACAGTGGATGGATCATCGTTTGTGACAAACACCAAGTCCTTCTTGGTTTCCAACAATCTCTCTTTCTCGCGTTGTTGAGAAGCATATGTGTGATCAATCTTCACCCAATTTTCCAATTCTAATTTCTGTGTGTGCATCTTAACTCGACCTATGGAAATTATCTTCATATTTAAAGCCTGTTTTGTAGGTGAGCTAGCCAAGTCACTCGGTAACCTAGACAATCGAAATCCCACCTACAGCTACTGTATGTTATAAAGCATAATAGGTTACAGTCGGGCAACTCACAGTTTTGGGATCCTGGCAGGCGAGGAAATTTTGCTAGGTAAAGAACTGTTAAGTAACCCAAAACAGAATTCATAGAAGAATTAACTGTTGAGAGATATCTGGCTGCCTCTAAATTTTAGCACACAGAGCATAATATATATTGTCTACTATTGGTACTGTACATGATGATGAGCAGCAAGACTTGATAATCAAATATTATGAATTGATAATCGCGTACTCAAATGACATATTAGGGAGTTTAAGCTTCACGTTTCCGGGAACGGCAAACGGCAGGTTCGAACTTTCTTGGCGAAACTTTCGTGGAACGTTTCCGTTTCATATTTTCTTTCTTGCGTCGAAAGATTAATTATCTATTTCAGTTTTAAAACAGCAAGTTCATTTACTCTTTATTGCCTGATACCGTAAAATTTTTCTTTGCCTGGTGTTTGACGTATAATGCAAAGCTTAAACTCTCTATTCTAACCAATGTTATAATTAATATAAATAATTGACAGCTCTACTTAAACAATGAAGATTCCATGCAGCCAAAAAAGTTATATCCCAATGGACCTTCTTTAACACTCCAGTGATTTTTGGTAGATTTTCTACAATTTCCACTTGGTTAAAAGAGAAGGTCTCTGTTGTTTTGTTTTGTTGGTTTTTTTGTTTTTTTTTTGGGGGGGGGACAAGGGAACAAGACATTTTGCAATGGGAGCACAGAGCAAGGTTTCCACCCTTTCAAGGACTTTTCCAAGACTTTCAAGGCCTGTGGCCACCCTGACAGGAACAAATCTGAAGAAAAAAAACATGGGGAACGAAGGGGACATGCAAGCTTGGGGAACAGGAACATGGTGAAATCTTTGTGGGGCACAAGGAAAGAAACGAAAACTTTTCAAGTGAGCTAGCACTGAAACACAGATCCGAAACGCAGCTAATAAGTGTTTTCCTATCTGGATCTTCGCAAATCTCAGTAGAGGAAAATGCTTATATTTTCTGTTATGTTCAAAGTTTTATTAAGGAAACTGGTCGATTTACCCATGTTGAACCTTAGTATTGCTTGCCTAAATATAATTTAATGAACTAGCTGAACTTACATAATATGCTGATTATTATTGGTAACAAGTTGTGTTAATAGTGAGCCCCCAAGATGAGTAATTGTTGCTCTTAGGGCAAACTATTATTATTTAATTACTTAATAAATATTCTTCAAAGATCAAATAAAATGAGCTTGGCAAAGCGAGTTAGCTTGGGTTACCGGACTGTCTCACCTCCATATAATGCATCAGTCAAATCCAAGTGTGCCCATCACCGCCCGGGCCACCGCGGGACATTTTCCTGTAAAGCACGTCCCGGGGGTTGTGCATTTGAACTCAAACATCGGCCCTGGGGCGGGCCATTTGAAATTAAGGAATTGGAGGTTTTATGATCATTGATAACTTGATAATAATACAGTATAAAACAAAACAATACCAGTTTCAGAACATTTAATAAAATATAAACCAGTCAAGTTGTAGTTTAAAAACGCATAAATTTGAACCACGCCGCAAACTTTAAAAATAAATGCACTACAGCATGACAACAGCAAAATGCGCTAGAGTATGACACACAATACTTGATATATTAACAGAGGGCATTCGCTCGAAATATCGAAGAAAGTATTCTCTTTTTTTTCAGGTAGTCAGATAACCTACTCTTCTTAGCCAAACAGTCCAGCTGTCCCCGGGGTGGGGGATTTGCTACTGATTTTTTTGCCCCTGTGCGCTGCGGGGCATTTTCACATGTTTTTTATCCGCGCCCCCGGGAATTTGTCGCATATTTTAGAAAATTCTCAAAAGCCTGGGGGCTGGCCCGGGGGGAGGGATGGGCACGCTTGGATTTGACTAAGGCATAAACACCACCTAATAAATAGTGTTTTGGATAGCGATCCCAACAAGACTTAATTTTTTTATCGAGGAAATTGTAATTTCATAACATACGAGGGATGGTGGTATTTTTGCCTTGTTGGATACACTGAATCGAAGATATGAACCTCCAAAGTCGTTAGCTTAAATCAAGCAAGACATATCGATATCGTCCTGTTTAATTTCATAATTAACATGCGGAGGTGCAGAAATGCAAAGAAATATAGCATTATAAGAGAGTTTTAGATTCACGTTTACGGCAAACGTCAAACCGCTAACGAAGTTTTTGATTTTACAAGTCTATTATAACAGCTTTTACACCAGTTTTGAAATATAAACAATTATTAAACTTGTGCTCTTTAGCAATGATTTATAAGAAAGCAAATTAACCACTAGTCACGTATTCGCGAAAGCAGTAAATTATGATTTGGCGTTTGAAGTTTACGTTTGGCGTATAAATTTCATGCTTGAACTGCTGTGAGGGCTTGTATAGTCGTTAAAGCATGAAATTTATACGCCAAACGTAAACTTCAAACGCCAAATCATAATTTACTGCTTTTGCGAATACGTGACTAGTGGTTAATTTGCTTTCTTTTAAATCATTGCCAAAGAGCACAAGTTTAATAATGGTTTATATTTCAAAACTGGTGTAAAAGCTGTTATAATAGACTTGTAAAATCAAAAACTTCGTTAGCGGTTTGACGTTTGCCGTAAACGTGAATCTAAAACTCTCTATTATGTCACATAGGTATTTGTCAATGAACCATTTGCATTATAGACTAAATTTTGATCTAAACAAAAATTTCATCACAGCTTGAAAGAGCATCACAAAATTAGTAATATTCCAAAGTTTCGTTGCGAAATGTTGTAAAATGCGGATAATATAGCCTTGCGAAGTTTGCCGTTTTTCAGTCATTTTGTATTACAAACGGGAAATTGAAAGCCCCAAAGGGTATTGGGCTGTCAATTTCCCCCCCGTAATGCAAAATGACTGAAAAACGGCAAACTTCGCAAGTCTATATTATCCGCATTTTACAACATTTCGCAACGAAACTTTGGAATATTACTAATTTTGTGATGCTCTTTCAAGCTGTGATGAAATTTTTGTCTAGACTTGTTTAGATCCAGTCAAAATTTAGTCTACAGTATAATGCCATTTGCATTATTAAACCATATCTGACCACTTTAGGCATTCGCTTTGTCGGTGATGAAAATTCGCCCGGGCAACGTTCTATAATTTATTAATACCGCTATTAAATACCTGGCATCTCATTTTTGTAAGTTCCCAAGTATGGTATCCCATCTTTAAATGTTTCCCAACTGAAGGAATTTTCCACATGTTCGACGTCGATAACCATTTTCAAACAATATTATCGTTTTCGACGTTCAAACTACGAGTATAGACCACAGAATAATCTAGTCTGTGATAAAGATCCGTGATAAAGATATAGACTGAAAGTCACAAATATTTTGCATAATTTGGAAAATATTTGACCATATATGGAATACCATACCTTATAATGTAATGTAACTAGGAGTTACTGTCGCAAGGAAAGTGCTGCCTCACCCCCAAGGGATCAAAGGCAGCATGCACAATTTGCTGAATAAGGAGCTGTTTATATGATCCCGCTTTGCCAGGACGAGATATGAGGTGGGATGATTTCGATATATTGAAATAAGTTATGGTGCACAATTCAGCAAAAGACTACATTATTTTCGAGAAATTCAGATACTCAGGTAGATTAATGCATGGGTCAAGTTTCAGCCAATGTCGAAATATGGGTATACCAAGTTGGGCGCGATTTTTAAAAAGAAAACAAGGTTAAGTTTAACCTTTAATGGTTTAATGTTATAGATTTTGACCTGGTGAATTTTTTACCGATTTTTATTTTATTATGCGTTCTTCACATGAGCAGTTATATAGCCTTAAACGTCAATAAACACAGTTTAAATGGAAGCCCATTGTGCGGACTTATAAAATCGCCATTCCCCAATTGCCATTTTGGTTTAACGTTGTACATAACATCTTGTGCTAAACGTATCTAACTTGCTTTGTTGTCTAGATGGCTAAACAAAGTAAATATTTTGCATTTTGTGTCAATTTATTTCGTAACTGTGCGTATTTATTTAAATGTAATTGAATATTCGTGTTAATGTAGGTCTAGCAAGTTGTGACTATCAAGTTTGTGTTGTGCCTTATCTATTTAGCATAAAATTATCGTTGCTTATGTATTGTAACCTTGTCCGCAAAACGGGCGAAAGTCATAGTTTGTATCAAATGTAGAAAGAAAGCTAATCGCCATTAAGCCGTATTATTTACGACCAGTGGGAGTCCGCATTGTCGATTATAATTAGTTGCGCAAGACTGCAAGTCCATACAAGTGCAATGAATACCCATGATTTCATGTCTATATTGTATACAAACATCGTCTTGAGTATTTCTTATCAATAAAATATGAAACTACAACTTTATAATATGAAATACAACATGAAATTGTTGCATTATAATCGACTAATTATAATCGACAATGCGGACTCCCGCTGGTCGTAAATAATGCGGCTTAATTTATTTATTTAACTTCGCCATTATCATGCATGCATTCATGGCAGGGTCACCACAACAGTATATGTTACCAATTACTGTGGGCCCTTTAAATTTTAAATAGATAATAAAACACAAATAAAATACACCGAAAACTTCGATTTACCTGATCAAAGTCATCACACGAATTGGAACTTGAAGCCAAGCGAACAAATTCGTCGAAGTTTTCGTTGTATTGTATTTCACAAACATACTTAATTAGCTGCTTCCAAATTTTATAAAACATATAACAATTCATAGGATATATAATAGCTATTGAAACTTAATAAACAAGACTATAGGAAGATCTGACAACTTCGAAAAATATAGATCAAAACAGTAAAGAACCTGGACGTGCACAAATTGACACAAATCAATGCAAATTTAGACAGAACATAAAATTGAGACTTACAACCTTCCTAATCATGTTTATATTTCAATAACTATGAGACACTAATAGCAGCAAGAGAGTGAAGCAGCAAGACTACGAGCAGTGTTACACTTTAAGCAGATAGACTTCCATGTCCGAGGATTTTGAGGTTGATAATTAAGGTATAAGGCAGTTTTGAAGTAATCTAACAGCAGAGATTTAAATCTTGGTAAAGTGAGAGACTGATGTCTCAGCTCTGCAGGAAGAACGTTCCAAACTGTTGCTGTTCTATTTATGAACGACCCTTGGAATGTTACTGTTCTGCATTTTCTAATCCTGAACGTAATGATGTCAGAATTGCTCGTAGCTCGCGTTGTTCTTATATTTCCATGCTTCCGTTCAGGGATTATCTCCTCACTGACGCACACCAACCCGTTAAACATCTTGAAGAAAAACGTCAAGTCTAAATATTCATGCCAGAAACTAATCGGTAGTAAATCGGTAGCTTGTAGTCGATCCTCGTAAGTTAGTTCGCAGTGGAATGGAAGGTTTAGTATGAATTTTGTTGCACGACGCTGCACTCTTTCGACGCGCTTGATAAGCTCGATGGTCTGAGGGGCCCAAATCTGGGTGGCGTAGCCAAGGTGTGGTCGTACAACAGAGAGGAACAGACATCTTCTTGTTCTTTGGCTTCGTATCTCCCGGGAAGATCTCTTGACAAATCCCAGAAGTTTGTTCGCTTTTGAAGTCTGTTCGACAACTTGTTTCTTCCAGCACAACTCATTCGACACCCATACACCGAGATCTTTCTCTTGATTACCAGCGGCAAGTACTGATCCATTCAGGGCGTAGGGATACTAACTGGTGTTTTCTTCCGTGTGATGCGCTGGCACTTACACTTCGTTTGGTTGAATGTCAAACCGTTATCTGTGGCCCAACCGTTAAGACTGATAATGTCGTTTTGAAGACCAGCAGTATCTTGCAGGTTGTCCACTTGCTTCAGAATCTTCGTATCATCAGCGAAACAAGCGACTTTTGATGTATTCACAGTCTTGGGCAGATCGTTCACATATAAAAGAAAGAGCATTGGTCCAAGGATGGAACCTTGAGGAACACCAGATGTTACTTTGCGTTCTTTTGATGTCGCACCAAGTACCGTGACACGTTGTCTTCGCCCACGAAGGTAGGATGTAAACCAGTTCAACAGGTTACCAGAGATGTTGTACTGGCGTAGTTTATCAAGGATAAGAGAGTGTTGCACTTTATCAAAGGCTTTCGACATATCTAGATAAATCACATCAGTCTGCTTGCCAGAGTCTAGTAAGGAGCCAATGTAGTCGATAACTTCAACCAGTTGAGTCACGCAGGATTTTCCAGGAATGAATCCATGTTGCGCACGGTCTAACATCAGTAATAGATGGTCACGCAGACGAATCAGAACACACCGTTCTAGAATTTTCGAGATAATACTTAGCAGGGATATTGGACGATAGTTCTCAACATAATCTTTGTTATCTTTCTTGTGTATCGGCACAATATTTGCCAGTTTCCACTCGTCTGGAAATACGCCTGTCTCGAGTGACTTGTTGTAGAGTAAAGTTAAAGAGGGTGCGATCTGTTCAGCTGTTTCTTTTAGTAGCCTTGCCGAGATCTCATCAGGTCCAGTTGCTTTGCTGCCGTCAAGGGAACGAAGTGCAGCGGCAACCTCGCAGGGTGAGAGGGATATATCTTGAAGGACTGGACAGCTAATAGTAGGTAATTGGGGGCGAGGTTCTTCTGTATCGCCAGAAAATACCGATGCAAAATGTTGGTTGAAGGCTTCTGCGATGTTGACAGAACTAGAGACTACTTTCCGAACGGATGTGACACCCGTGGCCGTGTTTTTGCTGCTAGATGGTACAGACATTTGCTCAGGAACGCTGCTTGCTTTATTGCCAAGTTTGAAAACGGACCAAAATCGTTTTGGGTTTGCTTTAATGTCCTGATCTAATGATTCGAAGAATCTTGCCCGACTATCACTAATCATACGTTTGACCATAGATCGTAATTGTTTGAATTTGGCAGACAAGTATGTTGAGGACGAATGTTTTAACTTTCTACGTACAGATTCTTTCTTCCGAATCATATACAGAATGTTTCCAGTTATCCAGTGTGGTGAGCTCTTGCCTTTGATCTTTCTCGTGGGAATAAACTCACGTCCTGCGCACACAAACTTTGCTTTCCATTGCAGCCACGCGACGTTCACATTCGTACTGCTTTCTACGACGTTGGAGAGGTCAATATTATGCAAAGTCGAGCGCAGTCCTTGAAAGTCGCCTTTTAGGTAGTCGTATACGTGTCTATTCTGCTTAGTTTGAGCTTTTACGTTGGCTTTTACTTCGAAAAAAATACAGTTATGATCAGTTACAATGCCACTTTCTTGTGGCAGCAGGATGTTGTTTACGTGTACGTTTACTTGATCGGGTGCGCTTGTAATAATGAGGTCCAAGATGTTTTCACCTCTAGTCGGTTGATTATTTATTTGCGAGAGAAAGTAGTCATTCCGGAGTTCAGTAAATTGTAATTCGTCAGACCCCGTAGTCTGATCCGGAGAATCCCAAATAATTTTTGGTAGATTAAAGTCTCCATAAATTACGATATTATCATAACTTGTTGACAAAATAGCGAGGTATGAATCAAATAAATTTAGCCATTTAATTCTAACAATAGCAAAGAAAGCTGGCAATCTATTAATGAGCTTCTGAATAAAAAATCCAAGACTAGTCAAATAAGGGAAATTAATTTTGAGAGCGAAACTGTAATAAACGACGAGAAAATTGCTGCCGGTTTTAATGAATACTTTTCAACTATAGGTTGTAAATTGTCCGAAGGAATTAAGGACGGTGACATTGATCCGCTAAGCTTTATCACTGTTACACATGATGACATATTTAACTTTAACTTCATTACTATATAGATGAAGTAATTGATGCGCTAAATCTCATTCAGTCAAAAAAATCTTCAGGACTGGATGGAATTAGTGCAAGACTGTTAAAAGACGGAACACACAATATTGCTGGGCCATTGGTTGATATTTTCAACCTGTCATTGCGGACCGCTATATTCCCTGACGACTGGAAGTTAGCAAAAGTAACACCAGTCTTCAAGGACGGTAATAGGAATGACTGTGGAAATTATAGACCAATTTCTGTAATCTCCGTTGTAGCTAAGGTATTTGAGAAATTGGTATATTAACAGCTAAAATCCTTTATGACAATAAACAACGTTCTTGTGGACCAGCAGTCGGGTTTCCGTTTTCAACATTCCACGGAAACTACTCTGCTAAGTTCTACAAATGAATGGTTGTTTACTGGAGTCCTATTCTTGGGTCTTAAAAAGGCATTTGATACTGTTGATCATTCAATTCTATTAGCTAAATTAGAAAAGTATGGCATCCAAGGGAGAAGCCTTGAATGGTTGAAATCGTATCTCAAGGACAGAAAGCAGGTTTGTTCAATTAATGGTAAGAAATCGTCTGCAAATTATATTAAATATGGGGTTCCACAGGGATCGAATCTTGGTCCCATCCTTTTTCTTCTTTATATTAATGATCTCCCAAATAGTTTGAAAATGTCAAAACCTTCAATGTTTGCTGACGATACAAATCTCACCTGTGTTGGACAAAGCTCGAGTGAAATTGAAACCAAACTTAATGAAGAGCTTGAGAATGTCCACCGATGGCTAACAGCAAATAAACTTACTTTAAACGATGAGAAAACCGAATTCATCCTCATCGGCTCAAGATCACGTCTTGCCTGTGTCCATAATAGCCCAATATTGAAACTAGGACACAGACATATAAAACGTGTATACTATAAAAAGTTACTAGGTACGGTCCTCGATGAGCAGTTGAAGTGGGACAAACACAATGAAGTTCAATGCAAAAAAATTTCAAATAGTATAGCTCTGCTAAAAAGAGCTAGACCTTTCGTTCCTAGACACACATTAATTAAAATGTATAATGCCTTTGTTTTGCCTCACTTTAATTACTGCTCTACAATATGGAACGATGGATCATGTACTATAATTAATAAACTTTGAAAATTACAAAGGAGAGCTGCGCGTGTAATTACTTCAAGTACATACGATATTCGTTCCTCCCAAATCTTGAAAGACCTTAATTGGAAACCAATTGAAGATGACTTAAAAAATAGGGAAACTGTTATGACATTCAAAGTTTTAACCGGGCAAGGACCGGATTATTTACAGCAATTATTTACTGAGTGCAATAACGATAATTACAGTCTAAGAAGTAATAACACCAAATTGGCACTCCCAAAACCAAGGACTAATTTCTTAAAAAGAAGCTTCTCATATAGAGCGGCAAAGTCCTGGAACGAATTATCTAATAATATAACTGAAGATTTCTGTGAGCTATCAGTTAACGCTTTCAAACAGCGACTTGATAAAACCGCTTAATTGGTTGGATAATTTGATTATACATTAATTATACCTTAATTTAGTATTGTATCATAGTAAATAGGATTTCGTTTTTATTACACGGCCCTTTGAAAACCAGTACCTCTTGTAAATATAAAGTTAGTTTTTAATAGTTATGAATAGGCTACCGTGTGTAAAGATTTTGATTAATAATAATAATAATAATAATATTCGGCCATGCATACAAATGCGGGCAATTTACTAAATCGCCCTGTTTCGAGCGGGCAAATTAGTAAACTGCCCGATCAGAGAGAATTTAAAGATTTTACGCGCGACCAGGTTGCGACCGTTATTCTCTCGCGTATAATCGTTGCGGGACCCAGACCAGGCACGCAAAATTTAAAAGCGCGTGCACATGCCCTAACAATTGTCGAATGAAAACTTGCTCCTGGAAATGATTCAAGCGTGCAACGCATGACATCTATACTTATCTTCAATATACCTTTCCATTTTTCGCACACACGTATGTCTTCATCATAGACCTTCCACTTACTCCAGCGCCTAGTCCCATCGTACAACACAACATTGTCTCCTCCTCGGGGATTGCCATAATTCACATTTAGTATTGTACCATTTAACCTGATGGTTTCATTTACGCACACCCACACTTGATTTTTGTCATGGCGATTACACGTGGACAATTTCAAAAGGACCCAGTTTACTGGTGTTTCAGGTGCGCTGAGACATGTTTGATTGATAATATTTTGAAGTTGGTTATATTGTGTCCACCGCCACCTTTGATTACCTGTCAGCGGCTTGCACGATCTTAAGGTGATGTTTTCATTTTCAATTGTGATGCATTTCCCATGATCAGCGTTGTATATGAGAAATCCTTCCCCTGCTTGTGGCAAACACCAAAGAAAGTACGCGTTAAAAGAGAAATCATGTTAGCAATAATCTGATATTCCTTTATATAAAATTTACACTCGGTAATTTCTATCTATAAAACCCCGTCAACTACTACATATTTAATCGAGTGAGATGCCAACAGAATCCTGATACGTGCAAAGTTGTGGGTATAAAAAGTAGTTTAGCTAGAGTTCCAGTTAACACAGTTGTAAATTAATTTCAAAAACTCATTAATAATTCGTGAGGAAAACACAAAGAAAAATCATTAGAGTGTCGTATCTATATGTGATAGAGATTTCCCTTGATTTAAATAAAGTTTAACTTTGATTTTCTCGACTTACCGCACAACGTATTTGTTAAAAATTACTCCGCCAATGAACGTACTAGATCGATCGTTTTTGAAGCAATTTAGAACCTTCAGTGCGTGTTTTATCAGACCTAAAGATACTCGGCTTCGCCTCGTATCTTTATATCTGATAAAACACTGCTGCTCATGTTTTAAATAGAAAATAAAATAATTGTATTCATGGGCAAAAAATTTAAAGATAGCTGACTATCGTATTTGGTAAAGAAAAAGTAATTCACGTCAAGGTCGATATCGACAATGGTGATCAACAACGATTCTTCAAGTACACTTACCTGTTGGTGTAGCTGGAGAAGGTGTTGTCCTATTTCCTCCTGGTGTTGATGTTGCTAGAAATTATATTAAGCAAACCAGGTCACTACAAACTAGTTTACTACACAATTAAACAAGGACTGTTTTCTCAAAAGCTGGTCAGCTTATAAATGCTAAGTTAACGCCAATCTCAAAGCAATCTTCCCACCAGCCTGTTTAGAAACATGCAGATAGTTTTCCACAAGTCATACATGAATCAATAGAAGTTTTATTTTTCAAAGGTTTGACATAAACAGAAGTGGAAATGTACGCAAACCAAAACAGCTGGTTAAATTTTAACCAGGACGGGTTAGCGTTAATCCAGCTTATTTGTACCAGTCTTGCACGACTGAGGTATACGCGGTCAGAAGGATGTTCTGAAGAGTTAATTTATTTTTGAACCATTCAATATTCAAGTATAAGTACCTGTTGTTGTAGGTGATGTAGCTGGAGAAGATTTTGTGGTATTTCCTCCTGGTGTTGTTGGTAGAAATTATATTAAACAAATAGAGGGTAAACTAGCAAACAGAAGGTAAACTTCTTTTTTCCTAACCATTAAATTTTCAATAACTCACCTGTTGGTGTAGGTGATGTAGCTGGAGAAGGTGTTGTCCTATTTCCTTCTGATGTTGTTGCTAGAAATTATATTAAACAAATAGAAGGTAAGCTAGCAAAGAGAAGGTAAACTTAATTTTTTTAACCATTCAATTTTCAATAACTTACCTGTTGGTGGAGTAGCTGTAAAAGATGTTGTCGTATTTCCTCCTGGTGAAGAAAATAGAAGGCAAACTAGCACAATAAAACAGCATAATTGAATAGCTTGTTAACTTTATACACCTTCCATCATTTCATACTGCTGCATATTTATACCATTGCAACTAGAAATACATGCATGCATCAGTATCCACGCGCGGGCCTCGACAACATATTTCAAAAAGAAGTAGTCTTAATTGCGCCAGCGCTGAATGCACGCTCGCGTTGCTCGTATAAGACGTGTAATGTTAGCCATGGCAACACGAACATTGTTTTAATTTTTTTGCGCTATTTAATCGAGTGAGATGCGAACAGAATCCTGATGTTTACAAAGTTGTAGGTAAAAAGTAGTTCAGAGTTTGAATAATCGAATTAGAGTTTGAATTATCATTATTGATAATTCATGAAGAAACACAAAGAAAAATCGTAATCGTGCCGTATCTTATGTGATAGAGATTTCCCTTAATTTAAGTAAAGTTTAACATTGAATTTCGCGACTTACACAACGTATTTGTTAAAAATTACTTCGCCAATGAACTTACTAGATCGGTCGTTTTTTAAGCAATTTAGAACCTTCGCAATGCGTGTTTTATCAGACCTAAAAATACTAGGCTTTACCTCGTATCGTTATCATGGGCAAAATTTAAAGATAGCTGACTATTAAATTTGGCAAAGAAAAAGTAATTCACGTCAAGGTCGGTATCGACAATGGTGATCAACAACGAGTCTTCAAGTATACTTACCTGTTGGTGCAGCTGGATAAGGTGTTGTCGTATTTCCTCCTGGTGTTGATGTTGCTAGAAATTATATTAAACAAACCAGGTTACTACAAACTAGTTTACCACACAATTAAACAAGGATAATTTTTTCAAAAGCTAGTCAGCCTAATGCTAGGTTAACGCCAATCTCAAAGCAATCTTCCCACCAGGCTCTTTAGAAACATGAGGATAGTTTTCCACAATTCATGCATGAATCAATAGAAGTTTTATTTTCCAAAGGTTTGAAATAAACAGAAGTGCAAATGTGCGCAAACCAAAACAGCGGGTTAAATTTTAACCAGGCCGGGTTAGCGCTAATCCAGCTTAATTGTACCAGTCCTGCACGACTGAGGTATACGCGATCAGAAGGATTTTCCGAAGATTTAATTTATTTTTTAACCATTCAATATTCAAGTATTTATACCTGTTGTTGTAGGTGTGTAGCTGGAGAAGGTGTTGTGGTATTTCCTCCTGGTCTTGTTGGTAGAAATTACATTAAACAAATAGAAGGTAGACTGCGAGCGGTTCCTCCTTTCCGCGGGTTTAGATTTCTGGGCATGCGAAAGGAAAGGAGGGACTGCAGACAACACATCAAGAGATGAAATCCGCGTTGCCCACACAACGCAAAATTCCCATTGGTCGAAATCGATACGCCCGTCAATCAAATCTGATATGTAGCAATTGCGCTATAAATAATTTTCAGAGTGAATGTTGATTTTATACAGAGTGTGTCAAAATAAGAACTTCAGCGCGCTATTGTGTCTGAATTACTGCGTATGAACGAGATTTTTTCATCTTCGGAAAGATCAGGCTTTTAGCTGTTGAATGATATGTTCTTCATGCCAAATAGATACAAAATGAGCAAATACGAATCGGATAAAAAATACTAGTCAGAATCACATGTTTTCACTGTTGTATACCTTGTAAATAAACATATGACATTAACGGTTCCTATTGGATAGATTTAATTGGATATAAGTAATGTTTATGCCAAGGCGGAGCCAATTTGACAAGAGCGAAAAGTGGGCTATTTCGTTTCTTGATGTGTTGTCGGCGGTCCCTCCTTTCTCTGAGGGACTACTCGCGGTCTAAATAGAAAATAAACTAGCAAACAGAAGGTAAACTTCTTTTTTTCTAACCATTAAATTTTCAATAACTTACCTGTTAGTGTAGGTAATGGAACTGGAGACAGTGTTGTCGTATTTCCTCCTGGTGTTCTTGCTAGAAATTATATTAAACAAATAGAAGGTAAACCAGCAAACAAAAAGTAAACCTCTTTTTTCTAACCATTCAATTTTCAATAACTTACCTGTTGGTGTAAGTGATGTAGCTGGAGAAAGTGTTTTCGTATTTTCTTCTGGTGTTGTTGCTAAAAATTATATTAAACAACTATACAATTTTCAATAACTTACCTGTTGGCGGTGTAACTGCAAAAGGTGTTGTCGTATTTCCTCCTAGTAAAGGAAATAGAAGGTGAACTAGCACAATAAAACAACATAATAGAATAGCTTGTTAACTTTACACCTAGTTCCATCATTTCATATACTATTGCAACCAGAAATACATGCGGGCCTCAACCACATGTTCCGAACGTTGTTTCAACGGGAATTATTCTTAACCACACCAGTGCTCGGTCTGGAGTACGGTGCTCGGTTTGGAGCTCCTCGTTTTATGTCTAAAAAGTCACTAAAACCAACGCAATCTAAGATGGATACAGCGCAAACTATTACTGGAATGAGTCTGCTTCATAATTTATCTACTAGCAGCAAAGGAAAGCTCAAATGGACAGCCGATTTTGAGGCTCTACAAAGATTTGTCGCAGAAGTCTTGGTTTTGTCAGACGGCGAATGGACCACGCCGGGAGGACACGCAAAGCTTTACCAAAATGAAAGCATCTCTATCCGCTGGTATTCTGATACCGAATCGATCACGATTAGTGGTAAAGACGAAAAGGAATTCAAGGAGAAGCTGTTGAAATTAGCCTCAATTTCAGCGGGTTTAGCTAACGACGAGGACAAGCTCGTGGATGTTGTTGAGAAAAACAGGTCAGTCAGCCATAACGACAATAAATCCCACCCAAATAATGACCTAGACGATTCCCAAGAGACTTATCTTAAAATCCTTAACTGCCAGTTACAAGCTAAACTACAAGCCTTATCCGATCAATTTGTATCGAGCATGACATACATAAATAGGACGTTATCAGATCACTCTAACCAGCTTAAAGAACTCAGAATTGCTGACAAGGAAAGTGAATTTTCTGCACTTATAAAGGAAAATAGCGATTTAAAAGACACGAACAATGATTTGAAAAATGAGAACAAATCTTTACACGAAAGGTTAAACAATCTGAGTTATATATTAGCTGACCTACAAGGAAAGGTCAAATCTACAGAAGAGGAGAAAGCTAGCTTAATTACAGCCATTAGGTTACTAAATAACAAATCGGACATTAACTCGCCAAGTAACACGAGTGCGGAAGGTAATGTGGAGGTAATCAATCATGATATTATTGAACCAGGCTCCGCTGTAAATGCCCTACTAACTGACAACGTAAATATCAGCAACCAAGATACACTGAAGCGAAAATACAAGTCAAAAAAATCGAATAAGAAATCTAAGACGTCTGAGAAGCAAAGCCAAGACGAACAACGGTGTATAACTGATTCACCTGCTAAAACCACTCAAACCTCTCAACCGATTAACGAGGTGAGTAATGTAAATAAAAATACAACTAGTTCTCCTAAAAGCATCCAATCTCCAAGCAAAAAGGTCACGGTAGTTGCTGGAGATTCTATATTGAAGCATGTAGAAGGATGGCGTCTATCGAACGCGAGTAACCATGCGGTAGTCAAGAGTTTCTCAGGAGCTACAACTTCTGATATGGAAGACTATTTAAGACCAGTGCTCCGAAAGGAGCCGAACAAAATAATTTTACATATAGGTACGAACGATATAAACTATCAAACTGCCCAAACGGTAGCAGAGGGAGTATTAAATCTAGGCATACAAATTACTCAAGACTCGCCTACAACAGATATAGTGATCTCTGGGATACTTCCAAGAACCGATAAACCAAATTTGATGTCCAAGGTGAATCAGGCAAACAGATTAATAAAAGCATTTTGTATTGAAAAGAACTGGGCATTCCTAGATCATGAGTCTTTCAACTCAACTTGCTTGAACTCTCGAGGACTACATTTAAATCGAAAAGGAACTAGTATATTAGCCAGAAATATATCTAAGTATATTAGTACTGATTAGGATATTGCCATTTGTGAGTCTGCTTCGATTCCATTTCACCTACCCATCCTGCAGCCTTTGACAAATCGCCTTACTCAAAATTATTCAAGCGGGGCCTTGTGATGGCATCACTGAACATTAATAGTCTAACTGCTCACATTGATGAAGTGAGAATTTTTACACATGATACAAATATTGATATATTAGCCATTAATGAAACCAAACTAGATGCCTCTGTCCACAGCAATGAAGTAAATTTACCAGGATACGAGATCATTCGAAAAGACCGCAATATCAATGGTAGACATGGTGGTGGGGTATGTATTTATGTACGTAGTAATTTAAACTTTAAAGTTCGCAATGATTTCATGAACGACAAGCTAGAGTGTCTAATTATTGAGATATCCAAGCCTCGATCTAGGCCGTTTTTCGTAGGTACTTGGTATAGACCACCCAATACTCCTAGAGAATTATTAAATCTATTTGAAAACACAATCGATCGAATCGATGCTGAAAACTCTGAATTATACTTTCTTGGAGACCTAAATTGTAATTTAACTGCTCAAATCTCTGATGCAAACACTTCTGATTTGTTAAATATCCTAGACACTTATGGTTTGACACAATTAATCTCTGAACCAACTAGAATAACACCAGTTTCACAAACCTTAATTGACCTATGCATTACTAATTACCCAGAGAAAGTGACCTCTTCCGGTGTCCTCTCGCTGGGTATAAGTGACCATTCACTTGTCTATATGATTCGCAAATCTGGTTACCCAAAGACAACGGGAAGGACCATTAAAAGGAGAGATTTTAAACACTTTAATGAGACAAACTTCCTTGATGGTCTTTCCCAGCTAAATTGGGATGTTATTCAAAATTATGATGATCCAAACGACATGTGGAGAGTTTGGGTTGACATGTTGATGAACGTAGTGAATAAACATGCCCCAATAAGGGAGACTAGAATTGGTAAAAAAAGATCCCCTTGGATCACTCCTAATATACTACAACAAATGCGTTTAAGAGATTATTTTAAAAAGAAGTTTGAAACCACTAAAGACATTTCTACTTGGAATTTATATAAGAAAGCTAGGAACGAAGTGAACAGCAATCTGAAACAATTGAAACGTGACTATTTCAGTACCAATCTTGACTTAGCAAAAAATGACCCGAAGAAAACCTGGAATCTTATAAACCAACTTAGTTCTCGTAATGTTAGCAAACGCTCTACTGTTAATAGAGTTGACTTTAATGGTGCAGAAGTAACCGATACGCATGAAATAGCTGAGGCATTTAACACACATTTTACCGAGATAAAAGTATTCCTATAATTGATGTCAACCCAATATCTTATATTAACTCTACAAATAGTGTGTTTTCCTTCAAGACAATTGAGATTAACTATGTTAAAGATTTGCTTGGAAGGATAAACACAAAAAAATCTAGTGGTCCCGACAACATTCCATGCAAATTACTAAAGTTAGCTAGGGATGTTGTATCCCTTCCCTGACGCATATGTTTAACAAATTACTTTGCACTAGCATATACCCAAAAGAATGGAAAATCGCCAATGTCACACCTATCCATAAAGATGGTGCCAAACACGACCTCAACAATTATCGTCCAATCTCAATTATTTCAGCCGTTGCAAAATTATTTGAAAGTATTATTCACGACCAATTTGATTACTATTTAACGTGCAATAAATTACTGAATAAATGTCAGTCTGGATTCCGAACAATGCACAGTACGGTCACTGCACTGCTCGAAACAACGAATAGGTGGTCGATAAATATCGACAATGGACTACTCAATGGTGTAGTTTTTATCGACTTAAAAAAAGCTTTCGATACTATTGATCACGCAATTCTTCTGGATAAACTTGCTCAATACGGGGTTGATGAAAACGCATTAACATGGTTCCACTCTTATCTAACCGATCGTACACAAAGATGTTGTGTAAATGGACATCTATCTAGTAATCGACCAATCACTTACGGTGTCCCCCAAGGTTCAATAATAGGTCCCCTTTTATTCTTGGTCTATATCAATGACTTGCCAAACTGCCTGAACAATGGCTTATCGAGTATGTACGCGGATGACACAAATATTAGCTTTCAAAGCTCTAATCTTTCTGATCTTGAAGAAATTATGAACACCGAGCTGAGTAGTTTAAACACCTGGCTCAATGCGAACAGATTAAGCTTAAATATTACTAAAACTGAATTCATGGTCATTGGCTCTCGACAGAGGCTGATGTACCATGATGTTAACAATCTTAATATATGCGTAGATAACACTCAAATTAAAAGAGTACAGTACACGAAATCCTTAGGTGTAACAATTGATGAAAATTTAACTTGGAAGAACCATATTGATACTATCTGTAAAAAGTATCCTCAGGAATTGGTGCCCTCAAACGAGTGAGGCGATTTGTAAACAGGGAAATTGCAGTGAAAGCGTACAAAGGCTTAATTGAGCCTTACCTTAATTACTGCTGCCCGGTTTGGGACGGTATTGGCAGCGAGCTGAGCAGTAAGTTACAAAAGTTACAAAACCGTGCTGCTCGCATGATCACCGAAAGCACATATGAAAACTCCTCGAATTCTTTACTGCAGGAGTTAAACTGGCACCAGTTATCTCTTAATCGCAAAAAGCATAAAGCAATTCTTATGTATAAAACTATAAACAAGAGGGTACCAGAATATCTACAAGACATATTTATTTCGCGGTCTTGTCCTTACAGATTGAGAAACAATGAAAATACATTATTTGTCCCTAAGCCACATACAGATTATCTAAAGCGCTCACTCAGCTACGATGGAGCTGTTTTATGGAATAGTTTACCAACTGAACTTCGTTCGGCGCAATCTCTTAGCGCTTTTAAACGAGGTCTAGAATGTTGGTTAGCTTAGATTCACACACGGCAATCATGTAAATCAGTACTGTTCTGTCTTTTGTAAATAGCATTTGTATTTTTTTTCCCTTTTCCTCCTTTTTCTATACTTTATATATATCTATATTATGTAAATTTTTACTGATGATTCTACCGTGTCAAAATAAAGTTTATAATAATAATAATAATAATAATAATAACTCTGATTGCACGCTCGCGTTGTTCTTAACCACCCCAACTCTGATTGCACGCACTCACCTGGGGACGAGGCAGCTGATATATTAAAAATAGCGGTGATTTGTTGGCGCCGGTATAAACTACAGTTTCAATATTAAGTTTTTAAGAATGTAAATAATCAGAAATTGTTCTATAATAAAAAATAACTTTGAGATGCATTTCCGAAGGCGATCGGAAATCTCCGAGTGCATGGATAAGCTACTCTTTAAAGGCCTTTTTCCACTAGGCAGAATTTTCCGCGCGGAGCGGAATTTCTCTTTGCCTTTTCTAACTAGTTCCACCCAAGAAATCACAAGAAAAAAAATTCCGCTCTGCACGGAAAATTCCGCTCTGCACGGAAAATTCCGCTTAGTGGAAAAAGGCCTGATGCAAATCTTTTGAAGTAAGTTTATTATTTTGATTATTTTACACTTGTTACTGAGAGTAGTTGAGCCCCCTGTGGAAGATTGTGGCATGCATAATCGGTAATTTCCGATTGTTGCAAAATCGGTCAATAACTACCTAATTAATTCCTTACACATTTCTACTTCATATTCTTAACACACGTGCCGGTTTGCTTTCATGTTTCCTGAATTTGTTTTCTAAATTTGTGAAATTTTACTTTTATATGCAAACTTCAAAATTTTGAATCTTATCCAGTCTCCCTTGGCAAATCTGACGTTTGTGTTGATAAAAACGTCGCTTGCCAACACTGTAAATTTCAAGGAGTTGAATCAACTCAAAAAGTTTTATTCTGTAACCAAAAACGGTCTAAAACGATTACAGAATAACATTTTTGGAGTTGATTAGACTCCTTGACATTTTCAGTGAATGCAGCTGAAGACTTCAGTAAAAAAACATGAGAATACAACCATTCCTGCACTTCACAATGGAATATCTAAATAGTGTTGGTCATTTTTCAGAAACGGAGAAATACGCGTCACAAACTTCAATTTTATGAATAGTAGCCTAGTTTTTGTAATGATGAAGATATAAAACTAAAACAAGGACGAATAGCATTCACTTAAAACACTATTAAACCATTTTAAATGTCAATATATAGCTACTCAGTGGATGCGAAAAATATGGATGCATGGACCAACTTCATTTTAAAACACACTAATCTTTTCAACAAATTAAATGCTGGTTTCCAAAAGAGGTGTGTACTACTGTGATAGAATAAATCCCTCCCCCCATTAATTACTTATATGATGTATGTTCATTACTGATTTCATAAATTATATAAATATTATGAATTTGTTAACTAATAGTACTATAAATTAGTAAGGAAATCTAAGAAAATTACTACTATAATTTAAATACAATGATTGCTAAATGTTTTAAAAGGTCGAGGAAAAAAGCTTCTCACAAAACGAAATATAAGATGCTAAAGTTCTTATGTCTAAAGTTCTTATGTCTTATAAATAGACTCAGATGTCCCCCAAGACTTAATTTTCCTTGAAGGGTACACCTGGAAATCTAGAAATATAAACAGGTTTGGTGGTGGTGGTGTTGGTTTCTTCATAAGAAATACTATTAATTACTGCACCAGATCAACCTCGTTCCCAGGCACTTTCCTTTTGTGGAACAAAGACCTTGATCGGAGCTGGTCACATGAATCCCCAGATTTTGGGGGTAAATTGAATTTGATCTCAGGGAGAGGTAGTAGAAGAGTCTGTTTGTTGCGTTTGGAAAATTGCAACTTTATGTGTTATAATTTCGGGTGATAAAAATATAATTTGCAACAAAAGATTGTGAAAGGAACTGTTCTAAATTCGTAGCAATCATGACAAGACTTCTTGCTACACTGAATGTCATCAATAATAAGTGTTGCGTTACATTTCAAGCGAGAAGCTGGATCATATTTCACTTGCAAGGAAAACTCTCCACACGCGCGTAGTGG